ATAATTTTAGCAAAGGACTTGTGGATTCTACCAAACATTGGAAGAGCTGTACATGCAGTTCGTCATATGATTTAATGGCTCCAATTCAATTTAAAGAGTATGTAATTTCACAGCGGACAGTACGTTGGAAAATAACAAAAGATTGTGAGAAGCAAGGAAAAAGGGTAATGAGTATAATAGACCCAGATAGCAAGGATGGGAATGCCATAAATGTTGTTCGCTTTAGCAATACTCTGTCTAACGTCAAACCAAGAGACAAGTTCTCAGAAACTAATTGAAAAACTGGAAAGTTAGGCTCTAGTATGTGATGGAATTCAGATTAAAGCTCTTTGACTCTGATAGCATTGTGAAACTTTGGAAAGCAAACCAGCTTCAATTTTTTTTGGGGGGAGGGGGTGCTGGTGGCCCCCACATCAACCATAATTTCCATTTATAAGTAAAAAACATATTGATATACTCTTTATGGTAGATTTTATATATTGTAGAAATGTAAATTTATATTTTACAAAATTAATGAGTGACAGATCTTGAGTACTATATGCATTACTATATTAGTCTTTGTTGAAAATTTCGTACCCCATCAATTGGTTGTCAAAATATTTTGTGCCCCATCAAATGTGTGGGGAACAGTTTCACACCCCATCAGAATACCCTCCGCCCCGGGGTTGTAGATACTTTATGACCGGTCCCTTATATTCCCTATAGAAATAATAAATATATAGAAATATATTAATGAATTGGTAAACCATGTCTTCTTTTCAAATATCCGAATGATCAAACGTATCTTACATTTTCTCGTTTACCATTACAGAAACCTGGCACTAGCGAACGGTATAGCAGCAGCCGGAAGTGGAGTAGGAACAGTGGCAGTGGGTCCACTTTTACAGGTGCTGCTGACTGCTGTTGGCTGGAGACATACGCTTCGAATCTTTGCAGGTTTACTTCTTATTCCCACCCTAGCTGCTTTAGCATACTGTGTTCCCGAGAGCCGTAATAAAAAGGAGAAAGAAGCGAACTTACCGAAACCGAAGGTTAAAATCGTCGACTTTACAGTCTTAAAGAATCCTGCGTTCCTTGTTCTCTGTGTGGCGATGAGTACTTTTATGTTGGGTTACTTCGTGCCGTTTATTCATGTGGTAAGTTCTCGTACGGGTTATGGAAAACCTAGCTGCAACCATTAAATTTCCATATTTAATTTTTACCCATTTTAAAAATTGGGGGTTACCATGCTTCTTTTCCAACTATACGAGGCGATAGGCCATTTTTGAGTGAATATGTACACGTATGTCGTCATGGCAACGAATTATCTGTTAATAAAACTAATATAATTTGAAAGTAGAGATATCAAAATATATGAAATCTTCAATATCTGCCGAATAAATCCTAAAAATGCGTAGTTTGAACATGTCAAAGTGTTGAACACTTTCGCATTTTCTTTGTCCTCGGCTTTAGTTGCCTGCATTGCCGAACCACTGATCAATAGGCCTATATGTAATTCATATGTGCTAAAAGAAGAGGCAGGGAAATTTACATACGAAACTAAGGTCTTAATTTCAGGTTCTGTTTAACATAGCTGTATATTTAAATAATTTAACTAATAGTGTAACTGCATGTCTTCGTTGCAGCCTCGTTATGCTCAGATGCTTAACATCCATCCCGACAAAGCCTCAAATCTCATCGGAATCATGTCGGTTGGTTCGACGTTTGGTCGTCTCTTCTTCGGCTGGCTCTCAGACCATCCTCGTGTCAATCGTCTTTACCTTTACCAAATGTCTTTCTTCTGTATTGGTGCTATCCAAACATTAGTTCCTCAAATCACGAACTTCACCGGTTTTGCTATGTACATGGTATCGTTTGGCGTATTTGACGGCTGTTTTATTGTATTGTTGGCTATTGTGGTTAGTGATGTGGTTGGCATCGACAAAGTCTCAACTGGAATGGGTGTAAAATTTTTCTTCATGGCTATAACAACGTTTGTCGGTCCTCCATTTGCTGGTAAGTGTTCGAAGAACGATAGAAATATGTCAGCTGACGCAAGTCAATCACAACACTTGCAGGGTTTTTTTTAAACCAGCTTGCAGGCAGACAGTTGCGAGACTATTTAAGTCAGATTGTATGGAACTGCTCACCAAGCCTTTCTAGATTTCGTGAGGATTCTAGTTAATTAGTGGTGCCAAAACGGGAGGAACAACTACGCTTTTGTTCCTGCACCATGCACTGTTTAATGGGGATCGTTTTTTCCACGATAACTTTCTAGGGCAAAAAAAAGAAATATGTGGGTTTCCGGTTTCCCGACCCTACCTAGCTTTTGGACGTCGAAATCCCGACCCTAAACTTTTTTATTGGATCATGGTTGTAAGTGTTTCCACTTAGAGGAAAAAGTTTGTGGAAAATTGAAATTTGAGGCAATATTAGGGAAATTTATTTTTGGATGTGGAAGCACTGACTAAACAAAATGGCGTCCGCTTGTTCGGAAAATTAAAAAAAAAGTTTAAAAAAAAAAGTTAAAACCGACCTACCCTACTTAAGTTTTTATACGAAGAAACCGGAAACCCACATATTTTTTTTTTTGGCCTAGGATAGCTTGCCGGATATTATTGAATGTTAAAGCTATTTTATGTTTGAATTTGATCACCTAGATATTATGTGCAGGAACAGTAGCGTGTCTCCTGTTCTTCAGGGGAGGCCACCCATCGTTATAAATTTCCCAAAATACGTGTCGACTGGAGGGGGTGGGCAAAATTTTTTCGAAACATTAAAGCCCCGTTTACACTACGCTCAATTTTTGGTACGGCATGGATAAAATTGGTACCCGTACCACTTTTTAGGTAGTCCAAGAACCAAAAAAGTGGTACGGTACCAAAAATCGAGCGTAGTGTAAACGGGGCTTTATACAATTTAAAATACGCGCCGCTCTTTCTTTTACTCATTTGGCCGATTTTTAAGTAGAATTGACAATTCATTTCATGCAGGTTTCATTTCATGCATGTTTGGCGCCCCCTAAAAGCTGCACCCTCGCCCTTGGCATGTCCTTCCCCCCGTCAACACGCCACTGTGCAGCAAGGATACAAAATACAACAACAAATACAACCAATCATAGGCAACTACAAATTCAACCAATCATATAGGCGTACGCCCCCAAAATTTTAGAAAACCATGGAAATTCCGGCAAATGCGAGGACAAATCAAGAACATTCGGGCAGATTTATCAGGAAATATGTTAAATTCTAGTTATTTCATTACAATCCTCCATGGAAATTCGTGCAAACTTTAAATCCCCCCCCCCCCAGAAAGTATCAGCCCCGTACGCCTATGCAACCAATATGTTTATCTGAAGCCTTAAACTCAACGGTTGGTTGTATTTTTGTTCACACAGACATTAAAATACAGTATATATAACAAAAATAATTAAATCAGAAATCTAGTGAATTAGAATATGCGAGTTCAATCCTTCTCGAGGCAACGAACATTTCGCTCTTCTCTATAAAAAGAAAAAAGGTTGTATTCTTCCAAATGTCCTGAAATTCTATCTGCAATATATTACTCTAACTGTAACATAAACCTCCCCAGGTAAGTATTGTGCATGATCCATCTCAGGTTCTGACTTATGATTACTTAATTCCATATAACCAACACACTGCAGCCTTATGTCGATTCTAACTCAATAAATGTGATCTCCTTTTAGGCTGGCTAGTTGATATATCAGGCTCATACGACTTGGCATTCTATACGGCTGGTGGCAGCGCATTCCTAGCATTCCTTCTTTTATTCTTCGTGCCATGCCTCATGCCCCGCAATATGCGCATGCGCAACAGAATGGCGTTCGATGCTGCTGAAGAAGAGAGAGCTGAGGAGGAGGAAGAAAGTATTTATGAGAAAGAATATCCATTCGGCGGTTGCCCCGAGATCAAGACAGAAGACGTCGACGATCCTACATTGACTGTTTCCTCATTACTATCACCTCCCACTTTTAGTAAACCGAGGAGTCTCCTATCTGTCCATTCTCTTAATCCAAAACAGAATACAAGGAGTCTCCTATCTGTCCATTCTCTTAATCCAAAAAAGAATACAAGGAGTCTCCTATCTGTCCACTCTCTTAATCCGAAAAAGAACACACTATCAATTCATTCTAGGGAACCATCATTACGTGCAAGTCGGTTGGAAGTGAGTTGTGCTTTAGCTGGTGCAGATCCAAACATACTGTCTGCAGACGTCGTCCGTCGAGGAAAGTCAACTCCAAACTTACACGTAGTAGAACGTATGGCGGCCGTATGATTAAACGAATACACCTATTGATCGACGGTATGACTGTTTTGCACACAAGTCGTTTACGGCTACTTATAGGAATTATATCACTTATTCTCCGGGACTTTTGGCAAATTGTTCGTCATATTGATTTCATGATGATCCATGTGGTTCTACGGTAAACACGTTTACACAATTGTGTTCAAATTGGTATTTATTGACAATGTTCGTGTTCAGCAGCGTTCAGTGTTTAAAAAAACATAATTAAAAATAAAAATCATCGAATCGAAAAAATCGAGACAGACAGTTAACATAGTAGTATAACTATTGAAGTAAATAATACGTGCTTCTTAGTTCTAGTGAGTAACATAACGTTTATACGGTATGCTTTCAAAGCATATTACCTTACATACACGCATGCTCTGTTTAATGAAAGAGGACAGATAGTAGTAGATGTAGACATGAGAAACCGTGGACGTTAATTTCAACTCGTACACCTGGGTCATTTCCAAGTAGTTGATTGAAGATTGCAGCAACTACCTGAATAATATACAAAATACATGTATATTTTCCAGGTATTTGTACCCTTCAACCAACGTCTTGTTCAACGCTACCTACATTGGCTCCACCACTCAAAATATTAATGATTTTACGCATAACCATAGGTATGACCATTTCGTCAATAGAATATGCATACAATCGACGAAGTACAATAGAACTCATTATCTATTCTGATTTACGTTCATTTCATCGTCACGTGTGTATTGCTTCATTGCCAATTGAACCAACAGGAATGTTTAGTTTTACCAATTCACAATGGCTATATGTTGAACATTACATCGCGCCATTTTTAAATCAAACATTGCTTTTGGTTGGTTGACAATGTGTAATATAATTTTCCGATCAAAACACCAATATGGCCGTTCAATGATTGTTCGACACGGACATTATGGCCGTTGGTATTCGCCTTCATTCGTTTGAATAATTTCTTCCTCAGTCATTCTTGCAAAACCAAAACGCAATCTTTTACTAATTTGGTACATGCACATACATAGGAAGTTATAAACTTAGTTAGAATATAGCTACTACTCATTTGCCCTTTCTCACACCAATGCGAACAACTCTCAACTATTTTTGAGTGCAGGAAAACTGCATGGGGGATAATAAAAGTAGTGAAGTAGAAACACAGCTGTACTATTATCGATAAGTATATAATTTGCTTCACTGAATCACTACTTCACTTGTCATCCTTTATTGTTGCACGGTTTGCCACCCAACAATGGAGGACAAGGTCAGGACAAGGTCATACAGCATGGCATGAAAAAGGCTTAATTGAAACTTCTTTCATAACTTCATAACATTGTTGAGGTCTATCGATCAAATGAATTGCTATGTTGTATTGAATTTATTTTCAAATTTCGAATACAAACGAAAAAGCTGCGTTTATTGCAATTTTACTATTGTATTTCATCGAGTTTCGTAGCCATCTTTATTCACGATATGGTAATATCTACGGTTTCTCATAAATGTTTCATAACTTCCCAGATTTTCTAGAATATATTCTTCACACATGGTCACATTATTCATCCTAGTATACGTTTTTATTCGTTTTACTGAAAATTTTAGGAGTCAATTCCAAATGTCAATCGCGCCCAATAAATTTTAGGATACTGACTATATTGTGGGTAAATAGAGAAAGGGGAGAATTTTGATTTCATCTCTTAGTTGAAGCAAGGAAAGAGTTAAATTTGTGCTTTTGGACGACATCAATGTCATATTTCTCTTTCAGTATAGTCTTATTGTTACTGCAAACCTGAGTTAAAACATTAAAATCGTACTATTTTCAAATAAAAAGAAATTATTTGAAAATAGTAGGATTTTAATGTGTTAACTCAGATTTTAGATTCTTAGTAACAATAAGACTGTGTTGAAAGAGAAATATAGTCCAAAAGCACAAATTTGATTTCATCCCTTGTGAGGAAACTTGGGTACATTGAAAATAGTACGGCGTCGTCTCAAAATTTCGGATATTTTCCCACATGAATAACACGTGAAAAAAGGGAAGGGGTAAAGAACCGACGCAAAAATATTCTTAAATTGGAAGTGTCAATTTTTTTATGATTCATTATAACTAACGTTCATGGACTGAAAAACACGGGGAATTAATTTGATTTCGGAAACTGGAAGATGATTTAAAGTGACTGGCTATGTGCAAAAATACACTTTAGCCTTAGTATATTTTCGAAAACCGCTCGTCGTCGACCGTCGGCAACACATGAAAATGATCATGTGTGTAAAAAAATTCAACATTTCTAACGACACATAAATTCATTGGAAGGGGGGGAGGGGGGGAGCAGATATAACCATTTTTAGCGGATATTCGAGTAGGAAAAAGTGTCGAAATTTTGAGAAGGCCGCAAACAATGGTCGAAAAAATGAAATAATTTTAATCTGAAGAGCAATGAGGAGGGTTCACCAGTGGTTTATAACGATAACGAGCGCGACATTGACCAGTATGAAATATGAATTATATTGATGTGCATTAATTGGCATTTGGAATTAACTCCTACATATAGCCGAAACATACGTAACAGACGAAAGTTCAAGAACAGTTCAGCATCAAGAAGTAGTATATTGAATTAATGATATTTTATAGAATCAGAATTTATAGTCTACAATTTTAGTAGCAATATAGAGATGACTTCTATTTTTGGGTTGGGTGTTTATTTATAAGTGCAAATTTTATTCTTACGCAAATAAAAAGAGATATGAGTGTGGAATGGTGGACAAAAATATGTGAGATGCATGAACAGCTTATATATATCTTTAAAAAGATATAAACTGCATGCATGTGAATTGTGAAATGTACGTGCTCGCATATTCTTATTAAACTTTTATAAAAAGAAGTCGGTTGTTTTGCTGTTTGTTTTTCTGCTGTAGTATGCCTTAGGCTTAATTAATTAATTAATCCAGACCTCTCAGACTCAATGAAAATGAAATGGAAGGTTTCCAAAACTTCAACGTATTCCGCGTATAAAGTTCAGCATGGCGGCAAATAATTCTGGAGAATCAATTTTAGTTGCGATGTAAGTGATCCAGTTGGAAATGAAGTTTTTACAATTTCCTCTTCATGCAAAAATTGCAATAAACTTAAAACATCGTGTCTGTAGTGTGAAGTAGCGGCAGTACTATTTTGCGATTTGCATATGCCATAGTGGTTTCAACACTCATTTTTTGCATAATACATATCAGTGGCATATACACAGATCAGTGGTAAAAGTCCGTTCAAATTCATTGTCCGGAAAATTTTTTTTTGAACCTTGACCCTTCTTTTTTAATGTCCGAAAAAATTTTTTTAGCCCCCCCCCCCCTCCCCCCGCTTGCCAACATTTTCGGGGAAAAATAGGGGCCCCGAAACAAAAATTTGCCCCGGGCCCCCGAATTTCTCTGATAGGCCCTGAACGATCTCGGTTTTGAGAGTTGATTTTCCCGCGCGGCTGTGATACAGATTTTGCCGCCATTTCCTTGGTAACAATTTGGCGACATTTTTTACGGCTGACAGTCACAACATTGCGGAAAATTGCAAATCGGGTGATTCATATTATCTCGATCATCTGCAATCAAAATGGCATATAAAATGGTGAAATAAAACAATTTTTGCCGTTATTCGTCGTTGTTTTTACCGTCATGGATTCTGCGATCAAGTAAATCTCATAACGTTTTCATTAATACTTAACATATGGCGATGAATAACAGAGAATCTGCTTCGTCTCACAATGTGGCGTCACCTTTGCCATTTTCAACAATGACAAATGGACTTGATTTGAGTTCCAATAACTTGTTTCCATCCTTGTCACACGTAAATAATGATATCAATACAGCAATGGATACTTTGCCTGCAAGTGTTTCTACTGACGAACAGAATTCGGTGGCAGTTCACATGTGAGTATACTGTGCAGTATATACTGTATCTAAAATTATCAACATACAGTATGTTTAATATATGATCTTCTGCCCAGCAAAATTCTCCCAGAGGTATAATGTTACACAGCAAGGATAGTACAATTCCAGAATACACGCTTACGGAACGTATGTCACCTTGGCTTAATCAAACAAGGATGAGAGTTGATGACATTTTGACCGCCAACTCTCATTGACTCTCATTGACTTTGAAATTGTTCAAATTTTAACCCATTGAGCCGCAATGCACCCCAGTGCGCCCTACTTTTTTTTTAATTGTCTAACGCCAGACGATTTTACTTGTCAATGGGGAAGCTCTGCAGCTTAATGGGTTAACCAAAAAGTCTGACAATGTCTCTAGTTAACCCATTCAGCCACAGTGCGTCCTACTTATTTCTTTTACTTGTCTAACACAAGACTATACTAGTACCATCGAGTACAAAGTCTCAGAAAATATTAGTCCAGCAAAGGAGGAATGAAAGGAGAACACACACTATCGAATAAGCAAGTCAATTTCATTTTAAAATTTATATTTTATGACATATTTTTACTATAATTATATACATTACTATAAGTCTATACTGACCCTTGCAAGATTGGGCTGCTGTGGTATGATGCATTGCAGTAATGGATCAACTATATACATGGGAAATGGTCTGATCAAACCAATGAGTGTTAAAAAAAACTTGTGTTCATGAAGGAGTCTAAATTCTAACACCTCTGTCCTCGTCCACAGGGGGGTGTATATTAAATAGAATGATGGCCCATGTAAGATTGCACATTTTTTAATGTGTCACAGTGTTCAATTCCTGCCAGAGGGCCGATAGTTGCATTTTTCACAACTGCTCCTGGTTAGGTCTAGTAAATGTATAAAAATTCCACTTGAAATTTCCGTCTACAAATCTCTTTGACAATTAGTTATATCGAGCAAGATGCCCCAAATCCTGATATTTACCTCTAGGCCAAAAACAAATATGTCGGTTTCCGGTTTCCTGACCCTACCTAGCTTTTCAGACCTCTCAACTTTGCAGAGAAGTTAAGAGTGAGATTGGGGATGTGGATGACACCTTTGTAAAAGTCCGGGGGTCTGAAATGGCATTTCGTACATTATGAGAGTTGGTGTATGTTTTTTAATGAAATACGTGATAACTTCATAACGTCCTTTAAGACATAAGGCACTTTATTTTGACTAAATCCCATTGTCCCAGAGCACAAATCCCATCATCTCAGTGGTTGTCCTGCTCAAATCTTAATCCCATTCCCATTTTCTATTGTTTTTTGCTGATGAATCCCAGTCCCAGTGCATGAAATCCCATTTTCCCACCCAAAAATAAGCAAATCCCAGTTCCCATTTTACCCCTTCAGGACCCTCTACATATGCGTACTATTTTGTATCCAAATTCCATTTAATTGCGGGCAAAAGCCAAAATGTGCTGGGCCGTATATGCAGGAACAATAACACGCGATTATATATTCCATTCGCGATCCGTATAATGATTAATAACAGTGTGCATTTAAGAATACAATATCATATTTATTTATTGAAAAAATACTGTGAAACTGCTATATGCGTGAGATTTACTAAACGTGGCGTGAGAGTGTGAGAGTGAAGCGAATTGCGCGAGACTCACGCCGAATGCGTGAGAGTTGAGAGGTCTGGCTTTTGGATGTCAAAATCCCAACCCTACACTTTTTTATTGGATCATGCTTGTAAGTGTTTCCACTTAGAGGAAAAAGTTTGTGAAAAATTGAAATTTGAGGCAATATTAGGGAAATTTATCTTTGGATGTGGAAGCACTGACTAAACAAAATGGCATCCGGTTGTTAGGAAAATTAAAAAAAAAGTTTAAAAATAAAGTTAAAACCGACCTACCCTACCTAAGTTTTTATAGGAAGAAACCGGAAATCCACATATTTGTTTTTGGCCTTACGCTGTACATGCCACATATTTATACATGAACCTGTGGTTAGCTCTCGACAACTGTCTCTTTGTAGCTCAGTTAGAGTGATGCACCGGAATCGCTGGGCAGGGCCGCAGGTTCAATTCTTGCCTGAGGTTGCATTTTTTGCAACTGTCCTGGTTAGATCTAATAAATGTATAAAATTTCCATCTACAAACCCTTCAACAATTAGTTATCGAGTGGAATGCCCGAAATCCTGTTAAGAATATAAGTTCTATGTTGGTGTCTTCAGTTGGTAATAATGTTTTTGTTCTCTCAGGAACCAAACAAAACAGGATGAAAGAGGTCACAAGGTTGCAGTTGAATCAGCAAAGGTACTAGTTTCACACGCTGTCTCTGTAAACCTGGTTTTCCTACTGGTTCTTCACAGTAACTTTTAATAGAGGTTTTATTCAACTAAGAATTTTGCTTAAACGGGGTATCAAAGTCAGAACTAAACATTTGATTGATATGCAAAATATTTGACTGATTAACATTAGTGCTATGTGCCAGAGGCTGGAGTTCAGCCAGACGTCCATGGCATTTTTTGGTTGCCTGGAGCCAGAGTTGTGCTTTCTCCCTGCTCGTGATTGAAGGGCAGGATAACTAGAAATGTGACAATTTTGTATAATTCGCATTGGGTACTGCAAAATTGCAATGAGTTGCAGGAAAAGTTGCAAATCACAATTTCCATGCTTTGATACGCTGCATTAGGTCAGCTTACTGTACCTTGGGGACAACATTGAGCCGAATAATATCCACAGTTATCCAGTTAAATAGACTTTATCCCCTGTGTTGTGAACCAATGCAGCCGGAACTTGAGATTTGAGTTGTACAGGAGCCGGAGATATGAGCTGTAAAGCGGCCAGAGCAGAAAAAACCTTAGTTACAGTAGCATAGCACTGACTAACATTTTGTAATGTTAAATAATACAGTAGTTGAATCTCTTCTTGCAGGCATCCCTCTATAAACTGTAAGACAATTTCCTATTTGTTCAGAAAATGTTTTTATATTAATTTTCTTTAAAAATACCAACTCTCTAATTTGTATAATGGACACTATACAGTAATGGTTCTTTGCTAGACACTGTTTTTTGAACTGCCAAAATATAGCCTGACCCAACTGTGAAGGAAATTATTGTTAATTTTTCTTGTGACTTTCATGCATTTCATTCCATATGTATTTGCTCAACCACAGTCCTTTTTTACTATTAACTCTGGTGTTAACGCTTTGAAGAATATAAGGATACTAGCATGTGATAAACAAATGAAATTAAACAATATAGTGTATAGGATTTTGCCTGCAATTATATTTTTGATTTGGCAGTTCAAACTCTAAACCTTCGACTCTAAGCGTTCCGCTCTCCATCGTAAATCTTGGCTGTATGCACAAGGATTATGACAAGTCTTTCTGATTAAATACAGGGAACAGCAAACACTGCGTGTTCCCATTTCCATTTTCGCGCTTAGAGTTTAAGGTTTAGAGTTTCGAAGGACAACCTTTTTTGAATTATCTGCATACAATTTTCAGACCTATAAAACCGGAGCAGCTACTGTAGGAAAAATGCTATATACTATAAGGCACTCTTGCAGGTTCGATTACATATTTCAAAACTTTAGAAAGAAAAAAACAACTTTTATTGATCCAGGCAAGATGTCCAAAAAACATTTCCATGCTTAGAAACAAGCTACATGTTGGTAAGATTACCTTGGAATTTTTCGGCTTCTGAACAACCTGCCCACATGCATGCATGCATGCACGAGTACTGTTCCAGTTGAACAAAATAGCGTCATGGTAAAACAAGTGAGATTTAGCAGGAATGCATGCAGTGCACTTTATTCACAGAGTAACGGGACTTATGAATGTTTGCTTTTTACTGTAACTTTTGAACCATTACTGCTAAGCTGAACTTTTTAATGTTTAGAAAACGCCTGGACACCCTCACACCAAAGAAGCAAACCTTATCAAGTACAAGAATAAATACCGGCGTTTAAAGAAACTTGCGAAAAGACTGGTATTTGTAAGTATACAAAATTACCATTGATATAATTGGCTTTTTGCATGCCACTGGTTAATCTAGAGAAGGTTGATTAATGATAAAGTAATTAACTTACAGTACACTCACTGCTTTTCTGCGTGGTATGATCAGTGAACTCCATGCATGTGTTCTATCTGGAACAATGACTTGCGAGGAAAAGTGAAGCCAGAAAATGCTACTTGACGCCATTACTTACGTGTGCTGTATACGTACGCTACAATAGCGAGCTTAAGCAAGCGACGTTTTTGTGAACACGGACGTCGGATTTCCAAGGGATGTAATAAATCTCGTAAATTCGCTTCGGTTTTTGTGTTTATATATACTTCGTGCTTGCGGTGTGCTGATAATCTCGAATTGTCTATACTGTTGGGTGTATAGTGGTGATCTGTCGTCCGCAGATTAATTGAGATGGGGTGAGTGGATAAGATTCCTTCTTCGTCTCATATACATGCACGTAAGATTCGTTATTGTTCAGTATCGACTGAGACAGTTTAATGTTTCTCGAACTCCGTCATGATGAACGTTTTTATGTCTCACACTAATGACTAGATTCGTGAAGTGATGCTTGGAAGAGAGGAGTATGGAATGTTTCGCTGCTTCAAGTGAATTAGAATTGTTTACTCGTCCTTCACAACATAATATCTTGTTTTCATCGAATTCATCACCCAATTGTTTCACTATAGGAGAAGTGGTTTCTCTTGCACGTATTTGTCGCATTTCTTCTTGGAAGGTATATATTTGATTGGATGCTCTTTATCCAGTATTTTTCAGCTTGTCGAATTTCTGATGAAGTTAGTTCCTTCATCGTCGCCATGTCGTCGGTTTGTTGGAAATTCTTGTTTGAAGAAAGTTTTCACAACAAATCACTAGTTTTAAAGGTTTAATCACTCGAAATACAAAGTTACTTTTCTCTCAGAATCACAGTTTCAATATAATCCCATTGCATGCAACCCCCCGCTGCGTTACGTCATAGCATGCATAATTTAACATAGTTAATATGAGTAGAGTATCTTATCTTTCGGACACACTCCCCCATGTATATTCTTGAAATGATATACATGTTACTTAACGTTCTATAACCTATAAGAGTCCTTAGAAGTTCATTAAAGGTTCATAACAAAGTTCCATATTGTTCATAACAAAGTTCCATATTGTTCATAACAAAGTTCCATATTGTTCACCTAATCTTCCTCACTCGCAATTTGTCGAATGCCCTCCCTTGCTTCAGTAGCAGCTGCTCTCGTGGTTCTCGGGCGGTATTCTGGGGCGTTTGGGTTAAGGGGATGACACGGTTCACGATCACAGGAAAGTTCGAGGGGAAATAACTGTTGAACAGCACGTTCTAATGTACCTTTTCCGGTCTTCAACACAACTCCCCGTGCGACATTGTCTTTTCCATGTATCATTCGGGTTACAACAGCTATTCTCCAACGGTTCCGTGGTTGATTCTCATCTCCCACAACAACTACGTCACCAACCTTTGGATACGACTGGTCATTCTGTCGTCCCAAATTCCGATGTTGTTCACGGAGGCTTCTCACATATTCCCGACTCCATCTCTTCCACATCGACAGTTTGCACCTCTTCAGAACCTTTGCCCGTTTCTTCAGGTCCTTGCATTCAATTTGATACGTCTCCATCTCTGGCAGGTGGCAAGGATTAACTTGGAGCAACGAATTCGGTGTGAGGACTGGTTGTTGGACGTCATCTTCCATGTATGTGAGTGGACGATTGTTCAACGCTACCTCTATGTCCAAAACTACTTCTTCTAGCTCCGACCATTTGAGCGCACCATTCCCAATTGACTTGTAGAATGCTCTCTTAAACAAACCTATTAGCCGCTCAAACTGGCCCCCCCACCAGGGAGCGCGGCTCAGATTGAATTGCCATTTGATCTCCAGCTTCGCGAGATAGTTATTAAACTGCTCATCCTTTCTCACCTTCTGCAACCACTTTGCCGCTGCCTTGAATGTCGTTCCATTGTCTGAATAAACTAGTTCCGGTCTCCCTCTTCTCGCAATAAATTTCTTAAAACACATGATGAAATCCTCCGTCTCTAATGATCTTACAAACTCCAGATGCTTGCCTTTCTTGCCCTTGACTTGGTACTTAATTGGTCCTGCAAAATCTACGCCTAACACTTGAAAAGGTGCAGTTCCTTGTGTTCTCGTACTTGGGAGTTTTCCCGGTGGTGGTGTTTGGAACGCTTTCGCCTGGAATCGTTTGCAACCATGGCACTTCGATCTTATCTTCTTGACCAGCTGGCGCAATCGCGGAACCCAATGATGTTCTCGTACTTTCGCCATTGTCATTCCAACGCCGCCGTGGAGGGTTGAAATGTGTGCGTGGTGGACTAAAGACGTGGTGAATGGATAATGGTCAGGTAGGTAAATTGGATATTCCTCGACTATTCGACCGCGACACTCTAAGATCCCTCGGTTATTGGGTTGAAGGTTTAAGTGTTGTTGATCAGTTTCAAATCGTACGTCTTGTTGTGCTTGGAGCTGAGCACGCTTTATCCACCACAATTTCACTCGTTCAATTTCTTCCGTATCGATCGGACCGCTCTTTCTCTCCTTGGGCTTCGTTCTGCAGTTACAGTATCAAGGAAGCGCTGTATCCAGGCTCCAATACGTAGGACTTTAACCAAGCTGAATTTGTCGAGCAACTGGTCGAACTCCTCTTTCTCAACCGATGCTACTGCTAAGATTTCTTGTTTCACTTTGGCTTCGGCTCTTGTTTCAGCGGTTGCCTCTAAGGTTACGTCTGTAGGCCATTCAGAACGATTTCTCAGCCATGTAGGGCCTTCTCTCCACAGTTGATTAGTTGCCACAACTCCGCCTCGACTTCCCACGTCTGCAGGATTCTGTGCTGTTGGTACGTGATGCCAGCTTACTTGACTATGCTCCTGAATTTTCCGCACACGGTTCGCCACGAACTGACGATAATCTCCTTTACCCTTTATCCAGTAAAGGGCCACGGTCGAATCAAGCCAGCAGAAGGTCTCGACGTGGTAATTGCTAAGTACTGTTTCTACGTTTGATACAAGGTTAACCGCCATGTGACCAGCTATTAATTCTAAACGCGGGATGGTTTGGTTACGTTTGGCAATTCGAGATTTGGCACAGACAAGTCCTTGTGTTACTTCATCAGCTTGATGGACGACGGCGTATACCGCTGCACAAACTCCCTGGGAACTTGCATCTCCAAAGCTGTGCAGTTCGATACCAGTGACAGGAACGCGATGAGGTGTAAGAGGTCTGGGCACTGTCAATTCTTCAGTCAACGAGCTTCTCCAACTCTTCCATCGTTTCAAGAGTGGTTCTGGTAACTGTGCATCCCACGATATCTTAGAGTCACAAATGTCCCGATAGAGTAACTTAGCAACAAGCATAGTTGGTGATACAAGACCCAAAGGATCATACACTTTAGCAATCTCAGATATAACCTCTCTCTTCGTTGTGCAAGTGTTCACATCAAGGCTTATGCTAAATGTGTCTCTTTCTCCGTTCCACGGTAATCGCAGTAATTTCCCACCAACTTCTCCCCCTCCAAGCTGTTGTTTGGCATAGCTCACTTCCTCAGACTCAACTGATGTTCCACTATCTCCTTCAAGCTCCTTTGCGTTGGAGTGCCATTTTTGTGGATGGAGAATGTTGCATCCTCGAACAATTCCGTTGCCATGACCTTCTTTTCTCCCGTTTCTTTCACTGTAACACCACCGGTCATTAAGTCATCGACATAGAACCCTTCTCGTAATTCTTTCACAAGTTCAGGATACCGATCCTTTCAGGCATCGAGATGTTGGTTCAGAACTCCAGCAAGGAGGAATGGCGAGGATTTAAGTCCAAATAATGCTCTTGTGAACAGGCAGATTTTAATCCCATCACAGTCTGGTTCCTTCAAATGGAAGCGCAAAGAGTTTCTCTCTTCCTGGTTGATTCTTATTTGTAAGAACGCCTTCTCGAGGTCACCAGTGAGTAGAACAGGATTAAATCGTGATTTGACTAGAATGTCCCAAAGTTGATTTTGTAAGAATGGTCCGGGGTGCAGGCAGTCATTTAACGAAGGTTTGGTGTTATCTTCCCTTGCGGACGCATCGTAGACAATGCGAAGTTTTGTGCTTTCTGCTTCTTTCTTTATCACCGCCTTGTGGGAGATGTAGTACTCATTTCCAATTGGTATCTCAGGTGTAGCTTCGAGTATGCCCTTCTGTAATTGCTCTTCAATAATTGCATTGTATTCTTCATATAGTTCATTCTTCTTCAGTTTCCGGATTAAGTTTTCCAGCCGTTTCTTGCTACCCATCTCATTTGTTGGCAAGGTTCGACGGTTGCCCTTCCAGGGCAAGCTAGTTTGATACCACCCAGCATCAGCTCTCTCTAACTGCTCTTTAAACTCTGTATAGACAGTTTGTTGGTCATTCTCATGAGTGTCTGCAAGTCCGAGTACATCCAGGGCACAGAGTTGCTTGTAGTCGTTGGAGGTTGATTGAGTAAATAGCACTGGACCATCTTTGTCTTCTCTCCCAGACGACATAACAGTCCATCCCAGTAGGGTCCTTACTGCTACAGGTTGCCCTGGCTGTCCGACTTTCTGAGCTGTCCGTTTTTGACAGCCGCATATTCGCTCGCACCGAGGTCTACGTGGATTGGAATCTGATCTCGGTTTGCTGGATCTTCGTTGACTTTCACTCCCTCAAGGTGGGTGTATGTTTCGCAAATTTCCGTGAAATTCGGGTTGTTTATCATC